TCTGTTCCTTTTCATGAACCTCTCACAAGAAATGTGCACTAATGTGACTTCATAGTGCTTGAAACGTGAAATACACTAATAAGTTTACATTTATATTCATTTGGATTTATTCAGTGAGTGAGTGCAAGATTTCTGGTGAACACCCCTGCAGTGTCCCTCACCTCTCGTGTCATGTCCTGGGTTCTTTTTCTTGCTGAGTTTGGTCAGAAAAGTTGGGCAAGGCGGCCAAGGCAAAAGCATTTGGGGGGACGGTGAGTAACACGGTGCCCATTGGGAGCAAAGTGATGACCGCAGCATCTGCTGAAGTCCACCAGCGAGCCTCTCGGCGTACACAGCACCTGGGCCGGCTTCCGGCTGTCAGCGGTGGGTCGAGGCGGCCGTCGGTCAATGCCAAGTGGTCTGAGTCACAGCTGTGTGTGTGGGCGAAGGTGGGGGGGGGGGGGGGGGGGGGCGGGGTTGGTGAAAGGGGGGGGGGGGGGGGGGGGGGGGGGGGGGGGGGGGGGGGGGGGGGGGGGGGGGGGCAGGGGCCGGAGCTGGACCAATCGTGACCAGCCGGGCTGCCATTCTCAAAGCTAACCCCTATATTTTGGGCCCTAAGCCACCAGCTAGTTGTCCCCAGATTCGTCGTGAAAGGTACAGTACCTGTGAAATACAAAACGATTCTATTCATGGCCCACCCACTCCCTGCCTCATCGCTCCATCTTTAAACTGCCACTTGAAACATATCCAATATCCTTACAACCTGAAAACAGTCTAGTTTATGGGTAAAATGCATATAAACACCAGGTCCATTTATCCTCCTCAAAGCCATGCAGGATGCGCAGCAATGATGCTTCATTAGTTCAGATCTCGTCTAATAATTAATGATAATAAATGCAAACAATTTTCTGAGCTAGAACTTCTCTGTGCTGTATCTTGATGAAATGAGGTACTGAGTTTAGACCAGCGTGGCTGAACATTCAGTTGGTATGAAATCCAGTCGGTCAACTCTGACATATCCCAGTACAGCCATCTGTCAACTGATTGTTTAATTAAAATACCCATTACAGGTGGGTTTTTTTTTCGGATTTCATTTGAGCTGCAGGCCTATGTATGAAATCTGCCTGATGTGCTGTTACTTCAGCTCACTTTCTGCTTGATCATCTGCGTCTGTCACATCTCTGTTGTCTGCATCACTTTCCAGAACTTGTCATCTCTGTCATATCTCAGTTATTAGTCAGTAACTGATAACGTTTTCCTTGCTTGCTTTCCTTTAAGGTGACAAGGCAGATTCAGCAACATTTCTGTCACAGAACAGTGACAGATGTTATTCTACTCAGAAGACGGTGCCAGAGGGTGTGTTTGGACGCCCAGTGGTGCTGGAAACATCAGCAACAACTGTTTCTTGTCTTTGGGAATTTTGTTGGCATCTGGTCAAGGTGGTCATGCCATCCATGTTAGGAATGCTGGGAAACCTTAGCAGGTGCTGCCTGCCATTAGCTCTCAGTCAGGCCCTGTACAGCAGCTGCACGTACTTTTCCCCGTTCCTACGCATGTCCAAATTGTGCCTCCTCCTTAGAAACACATTTACTAAGATATGCTGCAAGTTGTTGTAACACCAGCATCCTGCCAGTTGGTGGCACTCTGCAGTTTTCAATGGGTCATTAACGTCACTAATACCACCGGAGTAGTGGTGGAGTAGTCAGGCTGGCTTGAGGCCATGTTGGTGGGTCCTACTGAATGTTTGCAAAACATTATTTTTAAGGTGCTCTTACAGGAGAATGAATAACAAATACAGCTCATGGACAATGAGCTCCTTGCCACAAAGTACGACACCCAACCTGCATCACCATATACTGACAGTATCTCCAAAATTACCTTCCCGAGACAGGAGGTCACAAAGCCACAGAAAACCAATCCTGAGTGTAATTAACGAGATTAAACAACAAAATAACTGAATAATGACCCCCTAAAGTTATACTGCAGCCAGCAGAAACGGGGTGATACAGAAAATTGAACGTAAGGCTAAGAGAGCATTAGCATGTGACTCATCTTTTAATTACCTCGCCGGCTCTGTCCATTTGTCCTTCAGCTCAAGCAGGAGGCTTGAATCTTGCTGAGTTATGCTGATGAATTTGGGTTTCTCTCCACGAAGGTGGGAATCTCTTTCACCTCAGCTTTGCATTGCAGCTGCTGATTGCAGATACCCTCATGGCTTCATGCTCTCGGCACTCTTCATGTTCTTTGTAACAAGGGCACACGCCCATGTCTTTCGGCAGCTGGGGCTGCTGGATCCAGACAGCCTGGATGTGTTCACTAGGTCTCCCCCCTCACTGGGTAAAACAGGTACTGATCTCTGCCCGGGGTCTTGGCAGCACGGGAGGGGCGAACTGACAAACACCTCTGCAAGTTGGGCTCCTAGGAGAAGCGGGGAGGACATCCACTGCTGACCCTGAGCTCTACAGATGGCTGAAACCTGGCATCTGTTGTGGATACTGTCCCTCAGTGGGCAATATCAAACACCTTAGAAGACGGAGTTGTGTTCTGGAACATCTGTCGTCCTTGAGGATAAAGACAGGTTCATTCAACAGACAGAAGGAGCTCAGAATGCTTGCAACTTGCTCCTCAAGGTCAGAAAACCTCCACTTAAAGAATGCAACTCATCCTTGAGCCCCCCTCCATGTCACTGAACTATGACCCAGCTGGAGTTTGAGGAATGTGGCAATGTGTGGTGATTCCATGTGGTACTGCCATTGTGCCACAGAGACAGCGCTTTCCCTGTGATTTACAGGTGAGGATGTGGAGCAGGTTGCCTGGGATTGAGTTACCACTCTGATCCAATTACACCTACTGGGGTAACATTATGGTTAATAGCAAGCGCTCATGTCCCAAAAGCTGTGAGTTGGAGATAAGGAAGGACACTTCTTTTCTATCCTTGAGAGAAATTCTTAACCTGAGTTTTGGCAGCAGTTGCAAAAACTCTAAGCTGCCTTGAATAATAAAACGTGACAAGTAAAGATTCCACAGTATCCACAGAATCGGTTTCAAAAGGACCGTCTGGAAAAACAAAGCCACGATGTGCCATCATACATTGACTCGCATTTACTGAACCGGAACCAGAGCTGAATGAGTTGAAGGTAATGCTAGATCTATGAAAACCGTCTGTTTATTATTCTGGCTGCAAAATAAATGTTCGTAGTCGTTAAAATCGCATTTGCTCCAATCAATTAATATCAAAAGTGATCTAAAAGGACATTATTCATTTCATTCATACATATTATGGTCCGTTTAACCTGTGGGAAGAGTTATAAAATATCTCCCGACTCAGTCGCAATTACGTACGCTCTAGTAACAGCCAACCGGCGTTAACTATTAGAATAATCCGCTGAAAACTGATTATGTGGATCAAACCCACTTTTGATAACTAGAATTATTTATGCTGCAATAGTGCCCCCTGCTGCTCAGAAACTAAACTAACCCAAGGAAAAGAGCGTGAGGATGCATTTGTTTCTAAATTCACTAACCCTGTCATAATTGGAGAAAGTGGCAGCGTACTTGGGTCTTCCTTGTCCTGGAGCTGGGATCATACCCCATACAAACCCAGGTAGAACTATGATCGACTTGTTTAACCTGCCATCGTAGCAACACAACTAATACCACAAGGCCGTGAAATGAGCCTATTTCCTAAACCCAGAACTTGAACTCAATTAAACGGAACATCCATCCATTTTCTGCCGCGTTTATCCTGTTCGGGGTCGCAGTGACACACGCAAATTACCATTTACTGTCGAAAATTTAGGAATATTTTTAAAGGATGACTGGGGGGGGGGGCGCTGGGAGGTATGAAAAACAGACACCCAATCCCACTATAACCAGTGCAAAAGATAAGCAAAGGGCAGGTGAAATGAAAAGGAAGTATCTCAGTATACTCCCTGGTGGAAAAACATTCGCAGATCCTGACGTATAGTATGCCGATGACGTACGCCTGGAATGAATCAATCCGGTCGGGTGCTGCTGCCGGCGATGCTGACAGGTACTGCAAATACAGCCTGTAAAAGAAATGTGAATTTCACGCAGACGAAACATTAGGGATTAAAACGGAAAGCGTAGCCTATCACCACATGGCGTGCAGATGCTCTAATTCTATATAAGAGACAAAAAAAGTATTGTTATGCCGTTAGATTCCAGGGTGTGTATGAACTAGCCGGTGTCAGAGGTATCTAGTTAAGGGACGTAACGGCACATCAGGGGAAAAATACAGCGATTTACAAAAACAACGGGGCGACCTGAATAACCGAGGAACTATGTGCATCCACAAAATAAGCCACAAAATAAAAAGATGCAATGCCGCAGTGCGTTACTATATGGGATTCCAGTCGACGGTGTCCCGGGTCAGTGCTGCAATTCTGGGCTCACGGCCGATTATGACAAGGGGCCACAGTTAAAATGTGGGGAAATATCGCACAGTAAAACAAATATCCAGGTTTCTCATTGCGGGGAAAACTCACGCTGTGCACCGACCCCCATGTGGGGTCTCCCTGACAAAACTGCAGCTAAATACCTAAATGCTTTTAATACACATTTTAAAACGTGTCTGCAAAAGAGAGGGGGAGCGTTCAAAGTGCGATCATACGACACTACCGGCACGCCTGCAACTGTCCCCAGGAGGACGGCGTAGCCTGCGAGTCCTGAAGCTCGGAAGCCCCGCAAAGATTTACCCAACACACCCTTTTAAAATTCATCAATAATTAACCGGGGTACTTTATGGCATCGCCTTACGTTATGGCAATTAATTGTCAGTACACTACCAGGTATCTGTGGCGAATACGGACCCCCCCTTCCCCAGTCACCCCCAGGCTGATGAGATCGGTCTTGCTCCTTTGTTAAGTATGAATTTTACGGAATTTGGCGTAACGCATGCACGGCCACGTCCTGCACCGGGGCGGCGGACACTTGTGGTGCGCTTGGTTACTTTGTAATTGCGTCTGGGGAGCGGCGGCCTCAGCGCAGCCGGGCCGGCAGCGGGGATTACGGCGCACGTACATCCGAGGCTCCGCCGTGCAGCCACACGCCACACACACATACACACACAGTGCTCTGCGTTCGCGTCCATCCGCCATTTTCATCTGATTGAAAGCAGGTAGAGCAAAAAAAAAAAAAAAAACACGCACGGTGCCGGTGAAAAGCACAGCAGGTAAGTGGGGAAAATCCGACAATGCGATCGGCTGGTCAAACCCGGACTCTGCGTGGCTTCAAATGTTGCAGCTCCGGCACTTTGATACAAGTAGGTGCAGCATCAGTCAGACAAGCGCACCGACTGACCGATGTTTGTGGGTAACAATACCGATATTTAGGGATCTGCACCGTCTGCGCCAACTTTGTGGATCAAGCCGGTGGGGGCTACACAAAGTGTTACGGCTCCCAGATTTTTTTAATTTGTTTTCATTTTTTATTTCTGCTGTAACTTTCGGGTACGCATGCCTCCCCACTTGTCCTGTTGAAAGCACGACGTGCGCCTCGCATTAACGGGCGCTTCATATGGCCTAGCCCGATAAAACCGCTTTAATGTACTGCTGGAAGCGGACTGTTGCGTTTTTGCAGGGTTTATTTCTTTCTTGGGTTTATTTCGGGGGCAGCCAGACTTGGGTGCTGGGCGCTCCGATAACCGCGCGTCGTGTCGCCCCAACTCGCCGCCTTGCCTCCCCCTTCCCCTCCACTTCACTTTATTTGGAGATTTTAAAAGCATTTCGCGCAATTTAGCGAAGTTGTGGTGTTTGTGAAGTCGGCTATGCTGGAAGTGCTGCGGTGCTCCTGTTAAAGCGGAGCCGGTCCATGGACTCTTTGTCCGACATGCCTACACTTTGCAACAAAGGTTTTTCGCGGCCAAGGAAATTAAATTCGGTGTGTGTTTATTTTATTGCCTGTCAACAGCCAGCCGACATAGTTCCTGATACCGCCCCCCCCCACTAACGGTGTGCTAAGTATCCGTGCTGCTTTGTGGGCATCGCAGGGTGGAAACTTCTGGAACCCGCACAATGTTGTAGATAGTAGCGTTTATGTGTAAATCTCACGTTTGCTTCTCCCTCGCTTTGCATGACGGCGAGTAAGAAGATGTCACTTCACAGGGAGCTCGGTGGATTTTTATGCCCGACGCTTTAGTTCAGAAGAAAATGAAATTAAACAGCGCTGACATGTGCTCCCTGATTATATGAAAACGACAAAGGAACCTCCCCCGCCCGAGTGAGACCCCCGCTTTATTTACGCCTTTTTCTTTTCTTTTTTTTTTTTTAAAAAAAGACAGTCAACGTTTGTTTCCAAGAGTGACAAAGTGACTTTTTGGGAATGTAGGCTGGAAGTTGACACAAGAAATAATAAGGAAACCGTTACGTGTATTATAGAATCCGTCCTGTTTTGGAAACACTACACAATGGGGAGGGAGTACACCCTCAAACCACCCCCATTTGTTTCCGAAAAACATACCCACCCACTTTTTCCCCTTCAAATTATTATATATTCTCTTTGTGCTTCTCCACAAAAGACACTTTAGAGTCATATCTGCAACATAGGAAAGAGCGGTCTTCTAAAAAAACAGAAAACCCCCGAACCCAGAGAATGGGTCTTCCGAATTGGTGTGTCTTGCACGATGGACAGGTCATCCTTCCCTGCCAGTCAACCAGATGGTCATGTACCTGAAGCTCTGCTCTTCTTGGCGACATGCAGCCTGCAAACCTGACAAGAGTATCTGAGATGTTGGGCTTTGAAGGATGCCGTTCTACGCCCGAGGCTGTGTGGTTGTTGGTGGGTCACAGCGTGGATGTAAAGATGATTGTCACCTTTGAGGAATTTAGTTCAGCTGGCGCTGTTTTTGGGATGTTCCCGGGATCTCTGAGTGATGTGGAAGACAGGTGACCTAGAGGTGAAGTGGGTATTCAAATAAATATTAACTGGTTGAGTTGTGTAATTGTTTATCTCAAGTTGGTTGTGATTTCTGTGATCGGTGTTGCCATTGTGTTTGAAGTAGCTGGATTTGTGTGGCAGAAGGAGCCTGTTGTCCAGCCAGGGGAGGGTGGCATTTGAGTTAGTTGCTGACCCTGATGTGGAATTGGCAGTGACCGCTTCTGCTCGCGCTCTGGTCTCCTGAGTGTTCTGTGCTCCAGGGGGAGTCAGCGTGCTGACAGTCTCTGTCTGTCACCTCTCAGAAGTGACTTGGCTAATGTGACCCAGACCGGCAGCCAGACATTCATTGAAAGAATTCAGGATGAGCGATTTTTAGTGGCACCACCACAGGGTCATTGGCCTAACATGAGTCCAGTTATGTTGCTGCTTAGCTCTGTTCTTGTCACTCATCATCTTAGACCCTTTCTCTCCTGGTGGAGCATAGGTCAGCTACAATGCTTTATCATCTCTGTATTTGTTTTACCATCTTCTAAATGTATCCTCCAGATCCATCCGTAATGATGATCTTCAGCTGTGTCTAGGTCTGTCACAATTCCTGTTCCCCTGCAGATTCCATGTTAATGACTGACTTGTTTGTTGTGGATTTTAGGTGGGTGTCTCTCCAAACCCCACTTCTGTCTGATCTAGACATCTAGCCTCTCCTGGTCAGTGTCTTCAAGGTGGTCCACAAGAGCTTGTTAATGAAAGTCTTATGATGCTCTTGTCATTTTGTTGTTTTTCTTGTGTCCATCTGCGGGGAAGTGCTGATTTTGCATTTGTGTTGAGCATTTGGAGCTTGGTATTCTGGGCTATCACCTTGGAGTTCCTGATGGCACTGGGAGTCAAAAGGGCTTTCCTTGATTTCCCAATCCTTCACTGGACTTCTGCTTCTGCTTGTCCATTTGCCAGAGCTTCCTCCATGTCTGTTCCATTCAACATCATGCATCCATCGCTGGTATTATTTATGCAGATGGCCTTGGTGGTGTCGCTGCTGCATATGGCACTTGTACAGGAGGAAAAACCAGCATGCACTCATGTGATGGACAGAGGATTATCTTAGTAGCCCAGTAGCTTTTGTGACACCAGGAATAAAAGACCCACTATCCATGGGATCTAAGCTGATTTTTCCAAGTCTGAACAGAGAGGCAAGTGGGCCTTGTCTCCAAGCTGGCACTTGGTCCAATGGTGCTATGTGACCTTGTTCACTGGTACTTGGGAGATGGGATGGGCTCAGGGAGGCACCCATTCAGCCCAGCCACAACCATAGCTTCCTGCTTTGCTGCTTTGGAGATCGTGTTGTTTTTTGGAGGCTTGATGTTGTTTGTACAGCTTGGACCTGACTCTGTTTTATGTGGAATGTGAATATGTGTACCATATGGCATTGAACATAAGCATATTTAAACATTTCTACATAACCTGAACTAGCCAGTCATGTCCTCAATGCCCGATACCTGTGTAGATTCAGGTGGTGCGCAATAAGAATTAAAAATATGGAACTGCACCAAATGTATGTAGAATGTTATGTAGAATACAAAACAAGTACTGCGTCAATGCAGCCAAAAAATTATGATGAGCTCAGCATCTTGAAGGAAGTCATGGGCAGTCAAGAGTTTAGGGTTGAGGTGCCATTATGGGGTTGGGTGTCCTTGAAGGGGAATGGCGGCTTGGCCATCTTGAGGCTCAGTGGAAATCAACACATGGAGGCCAAAGTCAGAAATGGGCAGGATTTTGATGTATAACCTTCTGGTTTGGCACAAAAGAGAGTGTCAATGTTGCAGAGGTGCTATATCTGGTGGTATCTTGTTGATATGCTGCTGTTCCCGTGACTGGCATGCGTTCTTAAATTTGATATGACTCCTAGTCAATGGAAGAAGGGCTGGATCAGGAGAAACCACATAAGAGTCTAGTGGGAGTTAAACATAAACCATTTAGCAGTGTGCTGGAGCAGTTTGTGCAAGCTGAGAGCCTGGCTGGAGGGATGGACAAAGGGAAAACTTTACTAGTGGTGGGAATTTGGAACAATTTTTTTTTATGTGGTGTAGTTGAGCAATGCAAGCACAGCTGATATTTTCTGATATCCTGTATTTAGGGATCCTGCTCTACAAGCATAAAGCCATGTGATCATCTTTTTTTCCCCCCCCCAGAACCCATGTGACCGGCCAGCCCTTTCTACTTGCTGTAGAGCCCAGAGTGGATTTTCACTGAAGCAGGTGAGATAGTGAAGGCACCATCAAAATAGTTTTAGTCACGTGGGAGGTGGGCAGGCAGGCGTGGGTGTTTGTGCGTGTAGCCCCTACCATCTCTTGGAAAATATGAGACTATATCCCTACCTAGATTTTGAACACAAAAAACAGAGGGGGAAAAGATTTTCAGTGCATTATGAGTAATACAAAGATCATGTCCTGGACAGTTTCAAGTACCAGTAACAGTCTTTCCTGCTTGGGTCTCAGTGTGGTTTGGGTTTGGGGTGGTGATCTTGAGGATGGAAAGGCCTCATGCCAGCAAGCTGTGTTTCAGACCGCGATGACAGCGCAGGGGGGGCTGCTGGAGACCCTGGAGGATGTCCCGGCCCACGTGTGGAAGGGGCTTCCCGAGGACATGAGCCTGAAGCGCTCGGCCGTGAACCAGAACCGCATCGGTGCGTGGCTGTGCCGTGGGCTCCCGGGTCCATTAGACAGCGCCATGCCATTGCTCTGTTTTACTCAAAGGTAGACGGGCTCTGGAAGTATGAGACTTAGTCATTTCTTATCCGGCTTTGAATTTAGGCCTGGACATGGGGCCTCAAAGTCGTACGTCGAAAGATCAGAGTAAAAACCTTAGCAGAGGCTGTCTGTATAAGCTGTCTGTATAAGCTGTCTGTATAAGCTGTCTGTATAAGCTGTCTATAAGCTGTCTGTATAAGCTGTCTGCATTTCGTTAATTCCAGTATCTGAAGAGGATTTTTTTTTAGGTCTGTTGCTCTCTTGGATGGCCCTTGAGATGTCAGCCATGAAGATTGGCTGCCTACAATCCAAAAGACATTTAAATTTTTATAATATGACGTATTTATCATTTGATTTTGAATATTAAATATAAAGTCAAACCACAAACCCAGTCCATTGTCGCACGGTAGCCTTAGCCCATTTTGTGCAACCGACCATGAAAGTTGAAACCAGAAACATTACCCTACTACTGTCTTAACTGAGGAAAACAATGAGGATACAATAAAAAATAACATGTTTTTATTTATTTAGCTACCCAGAGGACAGAAAAGAACGGACAGAGGACAGCAGCAACAACAAAAAAGTCATCTAAATTATGGTGTTAAGTAAAAATATTAAACGATTCACATTAGACGGCTGTGAATCTTAAATTTTAAACAAATGAGATCCCTGTAACCAAATCCTGCTTTCAGTTTAGGTTGCGTCTAACTACTAGGTTACTGACCATCCCTTATATAGTCACTGCCACTGAATATGTGAATATTCTAAAAAAAAAAAACAATTAAGTTTTCTTCGAATAATGAAGTTTGACTATACAGGCTGACTTCTCTGTACATTTTTCAAAGTTGTAATGCCTCATAGCTCATTGACTTGTATAAAAGCAGACTAGCAGAATGAGCAATACTTGAAAATGTTCCAGGTCTTAAGTCCATCTTGGTGTCAGTCTTCAGTTTATTTTTTTAACTGAATTGCTTTTCTGCTGCTTACACCGCGAGTTAAAAGCACATGTGTGTTTCCTTAGTGCGCATGTGTGTGCACTACCAGGTTGCCGGGGTGACCCCCTGCCGCATTGTGATGTCTTTAAATGTGTCTCTACAGGTATCTGGGCCTCCAGGCTCATTCCGAAGGGCAAGAGGTTTGGTCCGTTCGTGGGGGAGAGAAAGAAGAGGTCCCAGGTGACCAGCAATGTGTACATGTGGGAGGTGAGTGACACTGCAAGGCCAGCGGCTTGACACGGGCAGCTCACTAACCACCTATCCGAGGACCCAGGGTGCTTCAGGAAGTGAAAACCAGGACGCTTTATTCTTCCTGTTTTCAAGGGGTTCTTTTCTCAACAGCTGAATGCAAATGCCCTTTATCTAAAGAAAATCTACTGTGGGTTTTTTCTTCTAAATTGTTTATATTGATACAACCTAAAGGCATGAGTGATGTTGAGAAATGTGCCTCTAGCTTTCAGGACCATCTGCTGTGGATCCGTGAGTAGTGCTCATTCATTAAAGTTCATGCAACGATGAATTTTGAATGAAATCCAGTTTATAGTGATATTAGGTGAATTTCCAACCAGGCAAAGTAAATTGAATAAAATTCAATCAGTGCTCTGTTTCTGTCGGACAGGTGTACTTTCCGGCCTTGGGGTGGATGTGTGTCGATGCCACGGATCCAACCAAGGGGAACTGGCTGCGTTATGTGAACTGGGCCCGGTCCACGCAGGAGCAGAACCTCTTCCCCTTGGAGATCAATAGGGCCATTTACTACAAAGTATTGAAGGTGCGTGCTTAGTTCCTACTCTTGGGTTTCTCTGAACATGTCAAAATGTAGTGCCACCTGCTGGGTCATTGGAAAAAATACATTTTAGTTGTTTGGCCATAGCCACTCCTGTGTGAACAAGATTATTATTCAAAAGCACATGAATGATTCCCGGTATTTTATGGCTGTGGGGTGGCGGGAGTGACTGCAGCTTCTGTGTGTTACTCTGTCGCCATCTGCTGGCTGAATTGGTCTTAGTACCTTATGCTGCTTTAATGCCAGTGTGTTTTCCAACAAAGCATTTAATTATAGTATTTCCTTGGAGAGAGGGGAAAAAGAATGGCAAAACGGATGAGATTTTGAAATGTACCATATTTTTAAAATATAAAGTAAAATTGTAATTCAGGGATTGGGTTGGAGCAGAAACCAGTGTGATCACAGCCTTCAAGGTGTTGAATTTGAGGACTGAGTGAGGGTATGAAGGTAACAGGAACCAGTAAGAGTCTAATGTGACTATAACATGTAATCAAGGCAGTTGGTAATATATGCTAGTCATCAGTCCGAGGAAGACTAAGGCTTTTGAAGCCACAACAGTTCAAGCTCATTGAAACTATTTCAGCCTACGATGAAATTTGCTAAGTAGTCTTTCTCTAGCCATTCACCGAAACTTAAATGTTTAAAGTTCCGATTTTGAATTCTCTTATAGAATATAAAAAGGCCTATTAAATGAAGGGTTTATTCTGCATTGCACTTCATTATGTGTGAAGCCATATTAACCAGGTGAAGATTAACATCAGTTTTAATTATGCTGCTCCGTCTGAAAGCTTGGCCATTTCTTGGCCTCCCACCGAGACTCGTTTAAAGCCTGTTCAATGATGAGCCGCTATCTGTCACAACACCATGTACAGAAGTATTAGGCAAGTCCTACTCCTGGTGATCATTTTCAGAAAGACTTGGGCAGAGTGATAAAAGTGAATGTATATTTTTGCTGAAATGTATTTAGAGATAAAATGTTACAGTAGTCTGTCAGACAAAAATAAAACAAAAACTTATCAGCGTGCAGACGTTTTTGGCAAATCAGAAAGGAGGTTTTTTTTTCTCATTTCACCATTCCTTGAAATAATTTTTAAAAATGTAGCTGTTCAATCTACATAAAGAATAACTAACAATTGACCGTTCTACACAGCCCACTTTAACAAGTTTAATGTCCTGTATGACCACCACCTTTCTCCTTGACCATCATGAGCCTGTTGTCCATTGAACCAGCCGAGTTTTTCATTTGAGCACATTCTACATTAGCTAGGACAGGCTCTCAGATGCTGCTCTGAGAAGCACTTCTTGGTGTGTTGTGGCACTTCTTGGTGTGGGTTGTGTACGGCTTTGTTCCTGTATGCTAGTGGAGTGGAAAAGTGCTATTTGGTAAATCAAGGCAAGGGAAGTTTATTTATATGGCACAATTCAGACACAAGGCATTTTAAAGTGCTTTACAAAAGCAGAAGAGCACATCTAAACAAGACATTAAAATCACATTTAAAAGGCCGTAAATAAAGGCATTACATTAAAAAAAAAAAACCTAAAAGCCAAACGGTTTATAGTAGTGATAGTGTGTGACTTAACTGATTTAATTTATTGAAAAAACTGCAGCAAACAGTAATGTTTTAAGCCCTGATTTAAAATGCTGTATAAAGGTGTTTGCTGCCCATTTCTAGAAGAGAATTTTTACACTGTATGCAAGTTGGAAAAGTTCTACAAGTGAATCACTGGTAACTGCAGCCCACACTGTCACTGCTCTACCACCTTGTTGTCCGTCCACGGGCCCTTCAGTCGAGTCCATCAAGAGTCATTCATCTGTGGACAAAATCTCTGTAAAATCAGTTTTAGATGAGCCTGTGTCCATTCCTGACGTTCGGGCTTGTGTGCCTCGTTGAGTCGAGGTCACATTTGAGCCTCTGTGACCCTGCAACACTCTGCACCTAGTTATTGTGGAGGTTACATTCAGATTACGGTTTTGAAAAATGGCGGAACTTCATGCTAAAAGGTTTCTGGAAGACTCTTTTTTTAATTTGACCGTTTAATCTTAGACCGTTATTTTTACATCTTCACTGTACATGCTACAGCCATCCTCTTTGGCTGTTGGCCACAAAACACTGGACAATACGGTGATCATGTTTGGCAGTTTTGATTCTGTGGCATGCCTTTGACAGGGACTACATTGTTTCCTTTAATTTTGCTTTCTAAGTGTTTTTGGGGTATTTGCCTAATAATTCTACACAAGGATGTACCCATGGTTTCCTGTTTTACTCCACACTGAAAGTGCTCAGATTAAACAGTGAGCATGCTCTGCTTTTAAACACTCCATTCTTATCTGGAGATCCCTCTGGCCTGAAGATATTGTAGTAAATTACACACTTGCATAATACACTGTACACAGTGTGCAGAGTTAAGTTTGGTGACTGGAGATGCACTTTCACAGGAGATAGGATACCAAAGGCTATGATCAGCTTATCCTAGTGACAGACATCATTTGGTCTGCAGAGAACTTTGATTAGTTGCGAGATAAAGGACCTCTGTTCCACTTCAGGGTTGTCCACCTAGGGTGTCACTGATGTCGCCCAACCCTGGCATGTTTAAGTGTCTGCCAGTGAAAGTTGGTGATGAATGTTTGTGAGCAGAATGTTGTATGTTTGTTTGGTTTTGATGCAGTGAAGCTGGCAATGCAAAAACACTTGTCAATATGGAGTACGAGGTTATGTTGTTGGTCAGGTTGTTACTCTGTCACATATTCTCAGGTGTGCTTTACTCTGATACCCTGTGAAACTTTTAATTTATATATCGCTTAAATCTGATTGCTTATGGAGCACAAGAATTAATTTTACTGTAGTCATAAGGCAACACTGGCAGGACTCCAGGCTCCAAGACTAGCTAACAGGTCTGATGAAACAAAAACACAGTCCTCTATGTTTCTTGTCGGGGTAATATGGAGACGTTGCTCTGTGGTGACTGTTGTTAGGTACCAGTTTGTATTGAATTTTGTTCCAGCTCAGCTCTTAATCAACTATGCTTTGTGAGCCAATACATAATACTGATTTTTAATAGAACACATTTAATAGAAACTATGTGCAACGGGTACATTAAATGAAACATTACTTTGTGTTAATATTTAAAATATCGATACTGAATTATAGTTTGTTTTTATAGGTGATATTCTACCGTATTGATTTAAAATAATCGCTCAGATTAATTATGATGTGTGAATAACCATAAATGAACCTTTAAATCTAGCCTGAAATACAGTCTTTGCAGTTGCATTATTGCAAACCAAAATTCAGTTTAACTACCAAGATCTGTGATATTGCAATGATTTCGAAGACTTAAGCAAATTTTTGAGTTAATTTGTTGGGGAGTAACTGGCACACACATCGGACCTCGAGCACCAGGAAGGGCGGATGCAGACAGGGTTTGTGTGAGTCCTCCATCCACAAGGGGGGATTGAACCGTGCTGCATCGAGTGGCAGAAAAGGCCGGTGACCTGACAGCTGGGAGCTGTTAATAGAGACCCGGACGGACCGTCGGGGCAGCGCTTAACGTGGTGTTTCGCTCAGTCCCGGAGCTGCTTTTCAGTCGCGACGAGCTTCTTCCTTAGGTGGAAAAAGATCGGGGGGAGGCCTGCGCTCCTACGCTTTCCGGCGCTGACTGGTCTCTCCCTCCTGCTTCCCCGTAGCCAATCGGACCCGGCGAAGAGTTGCTGGTCTGGTACAATGGGGAGGACAACCCCGAGATAGCTGCTGCCATCGAGGAGGAGCGAGTCAGCAGCTTGGGCAAGCGGAGTTCACCCAGAGCCAGGAGAGGTAAGCCGTGCACAGCTACCCCGGAGTCCCGGGGACTGTCTCCGCGGTTCTCGGAGCCCGCGTTCCGGTCCACCGTGCTGCCCGACCCCACGTTTTGAGGTGCGTTCGCCGTTCGCTCGGTCGTCGTCCTTCTGCTCCGATGTGCGGGAACGCGGGGTGCCTAAAGAAATGCGACGTCGGTGGGTTCAGCCGGGCAGTTTGAATGACCTTTAGGCTCCTTCCGTAACGCTCCGGTCGGGTGCTGCTGGTTGTGTTTTTTTCCGGGTCCGCCGTGAGTATGTTTTAATATTAGGAACCACCGTAGCTGCCAGACGCGAATCAAGGCCAGGCGCCTTAAGACGGCAGCCGAAACGCGACAGCCCGAAAACTAGGCGAAGCCGAGTGCTTAGATGAAGCTTCGCTAGCTAGTCGAAACGCACTAGCCCGAAGCCGTAGCCTGCGTTAGCTAAAGCGCCGAGCCGCCTCTCCTTTACGGCCACCGACGCCAGCTCTGTAGTTATTACGGATCCGGCTAGTCTACCATGAGCAACACGCTGCTTGTACGCTGAACCAGTGTAAGTAATATTAATGAGAAAATAAACCGGATACCACAGTGTTTCTCCAACCAGGCCGTGGATGCTAACGCTGTTAGCTTCGGCTGCTTCTGTTCGGCTGAGTGCCCGGTCGTCGCACCGGTAACTGATTAGTCTGTCTGTTTTCACTGCGGGTCGCCAAGACCTTTAAAAATCTGTCAAAAATAACTAGGCGACCGAAAAGCGACTATCGAGGAAGCCGCTGTAACGCTGCGCGTCGCGCGGATTTGGTGCGTAAATAATTAGCATGCGTGCTAGCTAGGCTACGTGTCAGATTCAAGATAAAGGTGAAGAAGCACCGCATTGAATATGCTCGAGTGTGTTGAATGCTCCCCTTCTCTTTCTGATGATGGAAATCGCGTTTAGAACCCAGTTGTGCGCTCATTTTGGTTTTTAAAAAGCAATCCATACAAAGAGGAAGACCAAAGGACCCCAACGCCCCGTCGGTCCGCCTATGCACGTAGTCAGTGCGCCTATGTATTTCTGTATTTTTACGTCTCTGAATACAGCGTGCAGCTGGCTCAATGTATCTAAGGAATTGGGGGCCAGAATCGGGCCTGGGCCGTAGGAAGCAGGCCGTGGAGTGAGCCCAGTTCCCAGTTGAGCACACCCTTTAACTGACAGCCTTTGAAAGCCTGTTTTGCTATGGGGTCGATCGGGAAGGTTTTCATACTCTTCGTGGGAGAGAAGAAACAACGCCGATCTTCATAGTTTTTTTGTGTGTGTGTGTGTAAGCCAGGCAGCGCCTCTCAATTTAAATGTCTGGTTGTGAAATACCTTTTGGGTCTTTATGGTGTTTATTGTAATCCAAGCAGGATGAATTTTAACTGGCCCTGCTGTGAGATGGAACACGACAGTGTCTTTATCAGAGCAAAAGGACGAGGAAAGGTCATATTAAGACATCAGTAGGTGGTAGCGTTTATGCTAAGCCTGTAGGGGAATAAATATTCCTTTTTTGCAAACTATGTTAAGTTTTGTACATTTTTAGCTGGTATAATGTTCCTTTATCATGCTTACATTTGTGTTAAATATGATTTTGTCCACTTGCTTGACTATGGTAGTTAACAGATGAGTTTGACTATAGTGTATATTGTTATTGTAACTTAAAATCCCTGTAATAGGTTTGCACATACGACTTTAGCACAACGTTGTGGCTTAAGGTTTTCTAGCTTGTAATTATCTTGTGGGGAAGACCTGTAATGTAGAGATTCAGATGCTTGCGAAGTGAGTTTGTACAGTTAAGTGTGTCATTGCTGTGGGACACCTAAATGTTGCCTGGATAATGAAGTGTGGAGGCACATAGGCCTGCTTCTTGTATGGATGAACTGGGACTGGCCTGTAGCACGATGAATAGGGTGCAAGGGCACCGTTGTGTGTTGTAGTGCTGCTTGAGATATGGCACCTTGCAAATGACCTAAATCTCATACCCTGAAGTCATTTTCAATAATAAGCATTTGATAAAGAAGATGCTCCGTTAACACTGACTTTGTGATTCCTATGCAGAAATTTAGCATGGTTTTTAAAGGTGGCTTCCCCTCGAATGGTGATGGCAAGTTCATCAGTGCAGGGTGCCCTGTGAAACCAAAGGTGATTGTGACTTTGTGTTTTACATGGACATCTGTGCTCTCTTAACCTGCTTTATGAAGGTCTCTTATCAAGGGTTTTGCCATTTAATGACCCTGTCATGTGTTTTCCTAGGTCGTCGTCTTTTGGCATATGTACCTGTCAATTGCCACCTTTTCATAGGACAAAAAATGAAAATCATTATGTTGGGATTAACTTAATGTTGCGCATTCTTACTGCACTAAGTGTAACAAATGGCACATCTTGTGTTTTTTAAATTCCGTCATATGGGATGACCATTTTACTGTTAAGCAAGTGGATATCTCAGTAAGATCGATCATGTGGTAGGTGGGACTAGTTGCTTTCAACAAAAAATTTAGGATCAGAGCCATTTTGTTTGTGTATGCACCCCATGCAAGCCTAAATTCACCCTTTGTAGCATTTTCTGGCTGCTGTAACCCTGTGTGTGGATTACTGAAGGAACTGCTCTGTTATAAGCACTGCTTTTTGCGGTTTATCGCTGCTACACTGTCCTTGTTTACTGGTATTCACTCCATCTTGCTGTTGATGTGGTTTGTCAGCCATTTTGGCCAGCTAAACTCATGTCCAAACCGTTTCACCACGTTTGTGGTGATTTGTTCTCCTATTCCCTCTTCCCAGCAGTTCTGTCCATCAAAGTAATGGACCTCCATACAGCCAGTGGCAAAGTCAACTCGCAGGCTGTGACCCCGAATACATGAGTTAAAATATGAAAGTCATATTTTAAAATGTCATTTTTGGATTCTAATTCCATATTAAGTTGTGGCTGCATCAAATTCTTCAAGCAGATTTCTTTTTGGGTTTCTGATGGCTTTGTTTAAAACCACCAATTTCACATATCTGTTTTAAATTGGGCAAAGACAATTGGTTTCGGGTGCTGCTGGTGTAACTTAATGTAGATTCCACAAGTGATGTGCCCTCACTTCAACAGTAATCAGATGTCCATGAATGTTGTGGACAGATTGATTGCTGTAAAGCATGCAGCTTTCAAATACTGCTTGATATTGATAAAAGAATTGATGGCGGAGAATGGCAGCTGACAACTTCTGAAATGCACTGTATGCTTTTGGAGTAAGACCTGATTTTTCGTGTTTGTCCATTCTACTGTATCATGGTCTTCCACAGGCTTCCTTGTGTGTGTTTGTGTTTGAATATTATGGGAATGAAGGGTAATTTTGTTCTGTCACAATATGTTGAACAATGCTTTTAAAAACTTGTTTCAGTTACTTGAATTTATAACAATCGTTCGGAAGCCCTAGTCATTTTCATTAAATTAATCTACGTCTGAACAATTTTAGTAGTATGTTTTGCAATGGTATGTTTTAGAGAAGCCCAGATTGAAATTTTCTTGGCTGATTCCGATTTCCGAGTTTCTGACACATTTTACTTGACCAAAAAAGAGCAGGTGCAACAGTTTTGAATAATAAAACGATGTCAGTTATTATTTTCCATGTTTAAATTCACCAGGTAACACGACCCTGACCTTTTTCTCTTTTTTTTTTTATTCGTTTTTAAAAAAGGCCATAGGTTACAAATCTCTAAATAAAACAAGTATACTTTACTCTTCCAAATAGGTGCATGGTAGTATTAATACCAACATCGCATGTTATGCAAATACAATTCATACATTGCTAGTAAGCTAGATTAAGATCAGGCTTTTTCATACTGTACTGTACCGATGTTATTGTGCAGGGGGTTAAAGTTTCGCTAAAGCATTTTTATTGTAATAAAAACCTTAGATTTGCAATTTCAATGGGTATTCTTTTTCAAGATTTTCTAGTTTCAGTTTAAAGTTTACCTCTGATGTTACGCCACGGTTTACTTTGGCTTTGCATGTATTACAAATTGCAGTCTTTGTGTCGTCTTCACTGAGTGAAGAACTTCCACGCTATTTTGTTAGTGTGTGGTTTTGAGTTTGCATGTGGCTATGGGGCTACTGCCTGCTGCGCTGTGCATATGATGTGTGGCGCATGTGTGAAATGGATCGGTTCGTTATTGGAAATGCATGAGAACTGACTGACCGTTCGTTGCCTGGTCTGGGCCAAGCACACTGAAAATCAGCCGATTCCAGTCCCTGGCCGGTCGATCGATGCATTTCTTGTATGTTTACATAATTAGACGGTGTCCCAGCGTTTTAAAATTAACAAAGGCCATTTAAAGCAGAAATACTACAGTGAAAATCTGATCTGGAGTACAAAATCAATCCCAGAAGTTATGGCCCCACCAGTGATGGGTCTTGAATCTCCATTATTTGCAGACAAATACTCTGATAAGTTCTGTCACACTAAATTTGACCAGGAAGGTCTGTTGTGTCTGGTAGTTATTTAATGGTTTGTGACAATCAGCTCAGTTGAGGTTTTAACATTGTCCAGTCAAAATAAAACAGGCGCAAATTGTAAGATCTAACAATTACTGATTTTATTGGAGACTAGATGTAGATGTTTTACATAAATCCTTTTGTTCTTAATCTGATGGTGATATTTGAGTATTTGTTATTCCACATTTACATCTCTGCAAATGAAGATGGCAGGTTTAAAAATCCAAGCTAAAAGTGCTGCTGACTTGCTTCCTCAGAGCAAAGTGGTTAGCAGCTGTTGCAGGGCTGTGACCGTAATAAAGATGCATATGTAGTCTGAGGAGATGCAGTGCGGCACAGGAGTTTTGTAGGTTTGTACTATGCAGTGGCACCTTCACTGGAGTTCGACTCAGCAGGGTTGGACACTTTACAGAATTCAAATGGTCATGGGATGGTCATGACTCTGGCTTGCATGACCAATAAACAATCTCTTGGGAATGCTTCTTGCTCAGAATCCAGGTTTTGTTTTTCTTGCTGTTGTCATAATTGCAGCCTTGGGATTTCAACAGGAAGGGATCGTGAAGTACATCTCGGGTTTTCCCATCCTCTGGAATAGAGCTGGGCGGTATGACCCAAAAATTATATCAAGGTACTTTCAAAGTTATATCGGTCTCACGGTATATGACGGTATTTTTTTTTTTTTAAGTATTACTGGACGCTTACCACATTTTACAGGACACTTTTGTTTTACGTTTTTGCATTGTTCCCACGTTAACTATTTTATTAGCCATTTCACCTATCTGCTACCTTAATGATAACATATGGCTAACATGTATATTGGCTAGCTGCTTATAGATAAATGGCTAATGTTAAGGCGCACGCTGGCCAAGTTAACATTTTTGATGTGTTTTAATAGTTCAGTGTTGCTCGAACGTGAGCTTTACTGACCTCGCGAAATTTCTCAAAGACCGGAATGTCGGTCTTTAAGATGCTTCACCAGGTTTGACGTGCTACTTGACTTCATCGCTACAGCTTTGTAGCACTGTTTGCATAGAGGCTTATTGACATCCTTTTTTTTAATTAAAAAAAAAAAAAAACTAAACCAGCTTGCGAAATGCCTTCAACTGCAGCATATGCCATGTTCGGGCAACTCTGTGTGTTACCAGCGCGAATGCATTCAGCGGCTATTGAGAGGAGGGGAGGGGCTGCGCGAGTGTGCGTGCGTGCGCGCGCGTGCGCTACGTGAAGTGTGACGAATGAGGCAAAACCGCACTGTTGGTATCAATAATGGTGAAAATGAATATCTAGTCAGATACTATTTTTTATATCGATTAGTATCTGACAATAGATTTTTGACGCGTCAGCTATATCTTCCATTTCTGATCTTCTGTGGTACATTTTTAGCGGTGCAGCAATGAAAAAGTACCCCCCTTAAACAGTTTCCAGCTGTGCCGCTTTCCGAACATTGTGTAGGTTATTCAAACCGGTATTGTGGTATAAGAGAAATTTATATCATAACAATTAGAGGTGGGCGATAAATCGATTTTATCGATTTAATTCGAATTTACAGTTGAGGACGATGTATTTTTATGAAAATCGATTTTATTACTTATTTTAAACGAGAGCTCCAAAATCGGAACTAATGCGACGCACCGTTCTTTACGGGTAAATTACCGCGGCGCACCCAAACACTGTAGCGGATTCACAAACAACATGGCAATGGTTTGGTTTTGCACCGTCGGACACAGACCAAACAAGTCCTCGTTGCAAAGTATGTTTAAAAACTGTTGCAACTAAAGGAAGCTGCACGACAAACTTATTCCAGCACCTAAAGCAGAGGCACGCAGCAGAGTGGGAGAAATGCTGCTCCCAGCGAAATGAAAATACCTGCAGCACCAGCACAACATCCAAAGTTAAGCTAGCAACTGTCCCTGACATGTTTTCGAACTGTGTGCCATATGATAAGAATGGGGCACGGTAGAAGGCGATAACAAATGCTGTCGCGATGTATATTGCAAAAGACATGGTGCCCATACATACTGTGGAAAAGCTGGGATTCATTAACATGCTAAAAGATTTTACAAGTTTCTAAAAGTGTTTACAATGGCGTGGTCTGCCATCTCACTTACAAGCATCTTTTTTGACTTGTCAGATTTTACTTTACAGTAATGCATAAAATAAAGTTAAAACTCGTGTTGAACCATTTATTTGTCATCTGTAGTTTGATTTTGAGTAGGGGAGGGGAAAATCGATTAAAATCGAAAATCAGATTTACTGTGGAAAAAATCGGAGATTTTATTTTTAGGCCATATCGCCCAGCTCTAATAACAATAAACTGTTTTCGGTATGAATCAGTATACCATTTGCGATGGCTTGCTTATACATTGATGGAGTTGTTTTGATACTTCCGGTTCCTGGTATTGCCCTTGGAAGAGGCAGCTGGTAATTCTCCAGGGACTGACCATGTTCGCTCCTGGATGACTTCATTGAGCTGGGCCAGTCTAGTATTGATTAGAAAAAGTCTTAGTATATCCATGTAAGTTGATACTATTGGTACTGATACTTTTGCCATTTGACTACAAGTGAGCAAAGAATACTTTTCTATAATGTGCTTAATTTTTTCCCTGAAGTGAATACATCGAATAGTCTGTCATTGACACTTTGTCAACTGGATTTCCACGTGTTGTTTGCCTGCTCAGTTAAAAATATCAAAGTTAATTTGTGAAATTAGCATGTTTTGGATCACTAATAGTATTTGGGATATTAGAGGTGGTCATACGATTTTAACTTTTTTTAAAGTTAAACAAAGTAAACATCATCTTGAATGTCTCTCTAAATCCCTGTGCAGCACGGAGGAAGCTGCTGGAGAGAGCCAGAGCCAGACAGGCTGGTTTGGGAGGATTCCGAAGCCCCAAGCAGGCGCGGGGAGCCAAGTTGGCGCGCTCAGAAATGCAAGGTTCAGATAATGGTGAGGCATCCTGCGCTGCAAAGTTTTTGATTATTTAATTTTTTTTCCATATGCAGTTTAGTGAACATTTTGTAGTTAACCTATCTGTAACTGATATAGAATTGAGCTATGTATGTATCAAGTTGATTTTTGACTCCTTTGTTGGCTTTCAGGTATAAAAGCAGAAAGTGAGGGACCTTCACCCACTTTAGAGATGGCAACACAAGACAGTTTCCTGTCTGCAGAAACTTCCCAATATGCGAATGAGGATACCCCCCCAACCACCTCATTGGTGGAAGAACAGGAAGAGCAGGACTTGGAGGAAGCACAGCAAGAGCAACAGGTGAACCTAAGTGAGTCATCTTCCCCAGCTGAAGCTAAGCCAGTTGAAGCAGAGGAACAGCCGTGTCCAGAGTCTGGCTGTCAGGATCCTGAAGAGGAAGTTGCTGCTGCTGTTGAACAAGAAACTGCACCCATTTCTTCTGTTCTGAAACTGGAGCCAGAGCCTGACTATGAAGATGATTCCCGGGGGGAGTCGCACTTTCCATGCCAGCATTGCGAACGTCATTTCACCACGAAGCAAGGCCTTGAACGCCACGTTCACATTCATGTTGCGGCAACTCACCAAACCCACACCTTCAAGTGCCGATACTGCAGTAAACCTTTCGGCTCTCAGATTGGCCGGCGGCGGCATGAACGCCGCCATGAAAATGGCTCAAAGAAAAAACTGGGCTCCCTTAGTGGAACCTCAGCTGCAAGTCCTTCATTAGTAACAGATAGTTCAAGCCCAGACCTCATTGCCACTTCTGGGCAGCTGTTGGTGACTTCAGAGAGCAGCAGTGGGCCCCCAGAAAGTTCTGTGGCTGATAAGCAAGGTGTGGAAATGGAACAGCGCTCCATCATTTTGGACGAAAAAGGAGAGCTGAAGGAGCTCTATCCTTGCAAGTATTGCAAGAAGGCTTTTGGAACCCACACTAATATGCGGCGACACCAACGCAGGATTCATGAACGCCATCTGTTGCCTAAGGGGGTCCGCAGGAAAGGTATTTTGCTGCAGGAGGGACAGCCCCAGCAACCTGCAGCAGCCCCTGAGAAATCCCCCAGCACTAGCCCACATGCTGTGTACTTACCCAGTGGGGATGTGGATGATGAAAGAGATCAAGATGAAGATTACATGATCGACATCTCTAGTAATATATCAGAAAACCTCAGCTTCTATATCGATGGAAAAATCTTGTCCACTAGTACTGTGAGCACCTGTGAAGTGGTAGAGGTTGATTCCAACTCAGCTTCAATGTTAGGGCTTGATGCTGTGATCATTAGCTCTGATAAGACTTCCCAGGCTGTAAAAGTAGAAACCACAACTTGCACTGAAAAGGATATCACAAGTGCTGTCCAGTCAGCAGCAAAAAGGAGAACATCTACTCCACCCCTTCTTCCTAAAATAAAAACGGAATCTTTAGAATTGGATGCCGTATCTTCAGCTTCTTCATCTTCATCTTCATCATCGTCATCTTTGGCAGGTGGGCTCTGCCCTCAAGCCACAGATACCTTAGCCTTTCAAAAGGAGCGAACAGTCTATCTCTCCCCAAAGCTGAAGCAGCTCTTACAGACTCAGGACAACCAGAAGCCCAACTTGACTCCGCCTGAAGCCAACAGGCTCGTTCCACCTGCAATGTCAGTGGCAGTGTTACCTGCAGCTTCAGGGAGGTTCAAAAGAAGAACGTCATCCCCACCAACTTCCCCACAACTCAGTCCAGAACAGAAAGGTGAAAGTGGTAAGAATGAAGGAAGCTTGTTTTCTCTTAAAGTACCAAAAGTAGAAGGCCAGTGTATGTCCCCAATTTACCCTGTGTCAAGTAAAGGGGATAGGGATGCAATGAGTCCTACAGCAGTGGATGCATTCAAAGTTTCTCCTGTCGATTGGCCTTCTACTCGAAGTGGTGGCAGCTCCTGTAACCAGCAGCCTCTGGACCTTTCTGGTGCTGTTGGCAAAAGAATCGATGGCCAGAACAAGGGACCCGGGGAAGCTGTCCTGGACCTAAGTATGCAACGGAAGACCACCTCTGAGTCTGAGGCAAAGGCTTTGCAACCGTTGGCTAAGAAGCGGAAACCCAATACAAGCATGCTGGAGAAAGTTTTAATGAATGAGTATGCCTCTTTAGACTCATCAGTAGAGGAAGTCACCAATTTAACAGAAAACCCAAGGATTCTGTCAACTGCAGACACAGGGGTTAGCTCTCTGGACATCAGTTGCACTGATCCTGAAAACCTTCAGTCTGAATCAGCTCTTCACCCTCCCCCTCCATCATTAACACCAGTAATCATGAACCCACCATCACCTCATACTCCCACCCTAGCATCCCCTACTCCACCACCTCCAGTTCTACCAACCGTTCCTTCTCCTCTCCCTATGTCACCTTCTCCCAGTTCTCAGCTCTCCAACTCGCCAAGACCTCGCCCTCTTCCTGTTTTATCACCTGAAACATCTCCCAGACCTGCTGAATTTATCTTGGAAGGACCTTCACAAGATAGTGGCTCAGATGATAGTAAGTCACCGCCTCTTTCAGAGGTCTTTAATGCCAACGCTGACAGTGCAGACCTTACTGCCCAGTCCGTAAATCCGAAAGTTAGTCCAGAAGTGTGTGTGATGCAAATTGAACCCATGATTTTCCCTGATAATGCAAAGCCTTCCTCACCCGAAAGCGTTTCAGCAGAACAGTCATCCTCTCCTCTTGGTTTTTCTGCAGTAGATGATAAGGAGGCATCACAAACTTGTAGCAATTCCAGTGTTACTGAAACAATGGAACTGATTGATTCAGCCTCTGCAGCGGTCCAGCATAGTCCTATGGAAGCTTCATCAGATCAGAGTGTCGTTGTGCTTGAGGAGACTGGCCAGGAACAGCCTTTATCAACAGCTTCACCTCATTTGCTTGACCCTCCTGTCCTTGTAGCTTCTTTACCAGAGTCTCCACTGACCCCTGTTATATCAGAAAGCCCTCCCACACTGGTGTTACCACCTCCTCTTGTTTGTTCTGTCATCAATGATGAAACTCAACCCAAGGATGAGCCAGTTGACATATCTGGGGATCATAACAGTGCCGCTACAGATCAGGCTTCTGATGAGGAGTCGTATGAACTAGAGATGTTTTGCAAGAACTTTATATGTAATGTCTGTGAGAATCCTTTCCCCTCCATAAAGGAGCTCAGTCAGCATATTATGGGACATGCCCTGGAGTGGCCATTTAAATGCGAATTCTGCATTCAGCTCTTTGGAAATGCAGCGGACTTGCTGGAACACCGTTCTGCTCTTCACAGCGTTGGCAGGATCTTTATCTGCTGCGTGTGCTCCAAGGAGTTTGCCTTTTTGTGCAACCTCCAGCAGCACCAGAAGGACCTGCACCCTGGGCATGACTGCACTCACACTGTAGTAGAAAACGGCAAGCTGAGACCTCAAAACTACACGGATCCAGCCAAGGCCGGTACTGAGCAGTTCCCCTCAGGCGCAGCCAATGACTCCCCTGTTGATTGTACCTCTCTGGCACGTCCTGAAGCTCTGAAAGCCAAAGACTTGGCAGAGGAGGAGCCGGACGATTCCACTGAGGAGCTGTACACTACAATTAAGATAATGGCATCTGAAGGAGGCAAGCCCAAGGGTCCAGATGTCCGTCTTGGCATTAACCAACACTATCCCAGCTTCAAGCCTCCACCGTTTCCCTATCACAACCGCACCCCTGCAGGTTCTGTGGCCTCTGCCACCAACTTCACCACCCACAACATCCCGCAGACGTTCTCCACGGCCATCCGCTGTACAAAGTGTGGCAAGAGCTTTGACAACATGCCGGAGCTGCACAAGCACATCTTGGCGTGTGCCAGTGCCAGCGACAAGAAGCGGTATACTCCCAAGAAAAACCCAATTCCTCTCCGTCAAATAGCAAAGCCTCAGAACGGTGCACCTTCACCCTTAGCGGCTGCAAATGGGGGCCTGATCACCTTCCGTAGGATGGGCCAGCCCAAGAGGCTCACCTTCAGCCAGGAGTCCTCGGGTAAAGTGAAGCTGAGCGCACTAAGCAAGAAGAAGAATCAACTGGTTCAAAAAGCTATATCCCAGCGAAATAAGTCTACTGCAAAGAAGGCCGCACATTCTGAGGCAGAGCAGGAAGTCCATGTATGTCCACATTGCAGGAGGGAATTCACGTATCTAGGTAGCCTGAACAAGCATGTAGCCGTCAGTTGTCCCATGAAACCAGTTTCCAAGAAAGCGAGAAAGGGTGCTGCAGAGGCCCTAACAACCCAGGACAGAAACACCAGCCTTCGTAGGAGAACAGCAGATGTCGAAATAAAGCAGCAGGGGTCGGACGTTGGGCATAAGACTTTGGGGAAAACGAGAGCCCGAAGCTCTGGGCCTGCAGATGGTTCTGGGGCACCTTTGAAACCGCTGCCTAGTAAAGGAAGAATGGCTGCCTCACAGGCACCGCAAAAGAGGCTATTGCCTCTCCAGGCTGCCACGTTGTCTTTTAGCAAGAAAAGTAAGAAGAGCGGTGATGGTCAGATTCCACATCCCCCTGGCATGTCTTCCACCAGCTCTGCCGAGCGCCTGGTCATGAGGATGCAGCGTGGGGGTAAAGAGGTCCTGGTCCAAGGTACAGGGGATGGGAAACAACAACAGCTCCAGCCTAAGAAGGATGAGCGTTTCTCTATGAAAGTTAGAGAGAGGGTAGGCGGGCCGGTCACTCGTAGCCTTCAGCTGGCCAACACCGCCAGTCAGATGGAGGTTAAGGCGGAGGAACTCTCCAGTCCGGAGTCCAGAGAGACACAGGTAACTCTGCACGGGGGGGGNGGGGGCTTTGACCAGTCATAATACTAAATTCCATGGATGTCTCATGATAGACAATGTGCAAAACATTTAACTAAGTGCAGTGAGTTCCAGTTATTCAAAAACCTCATCAAATCAATTTTTAAATAGAAGTGGTATATAATTTCTTTCCCCCTGGGGTGGTGTGTTTGCCCCTCAACTACTGTACCAACTGAAGAATAACATTTTCAGTGGAACATCAAATTTTTTTTTTATCCATGTATGTTTTAGTATACCGATATTTGTCGCGTGCAGACCGCTAAGTTACTAAGTGCTATGTGCTGTTTCCTAGTACCACTGACTTCAGTCCATTTACTACCATATAATTCTCTCTGAATGCAGGAGCCCTTGCTGAAACTGGCAGGCTAGAGCCAAGCGTGCCTCGCTGGCAGAACTCGGAGCAGTGCTGCGGATGTATGGACTGCATGAGCCACAAAGGACTCCATGGGGTTGGCCGAGAGTCCCCACGCAGGAGCATTTCTGTCATGCACTTTGTGTCTGAGCCCTTGCTGGATGTGTGCCTCTCGCACCCATGTGCATAAACGTGCTTTGAAAACATCACTGGACCTTTGGCGGGCAGAGGGTCGCATTAAACGCACGTTGTGATAATGCTGCGAAATGGCAATCATCTGTCCAGATTACCAGCCTGCTGTCTTTCTTTTATTTCTCTCCCCTTTTTAATGCTCACTTAAGCGTTCCTGGGATTTAAAGCTCACTTAATGCATGTGTACCATATGACGGAGTCGGACCCTGTCCGTTGTACTTACCTTAGGTCCAGCGCTGTTTGTAGTTACATGAATGACTTTTACTTAAGTTTAATGCTTCATAACATGGGAGGTGTTCATTGATTAAAAACGGTCAAAATTAACTGTTTTGGAAGCTATATGGCACCTCGCTGTCAACAGAAATCGGCACGTACCCCCACCCTGGTCGTCGCTCTGCTTGGGGGGGCTCAGGCACTAAGCTTTTTGTTCTTAGGGTTAAAAAAAACTTCTGATCCACATTTATGATCACGTTAAATAATGACAGTGTCCACACCAATCATTTCTGGGTGTACAGTGAGTCGGTGGTCATTCGCTGGTTTTGAGGTGGAAATGCAGCCTGTTTGAAATTATTGTAGTTACAGGGTGTTGGCCAGGCAGACCTCTGCAGCTCAGGCATTAGTGTTAGTCTGAACACATGCCAGGCTGGAGGGGGACGTGTCTCATTAATATGTAGCATTGTCAGCCTTCCAAAAGTAGTGTTTGTCCAGTTAGAGGTCTAGTTGTGAAAATCTGGAATTTCGGTCCTGATAAAGGAACTTGTGCAAAGCTGGGTTCTGGCAGGACAGCTTCTGCTGATGTGACCCGAGATGATGCTGCGGAGTTCCTGGGGTGTTTTGCTTATGAACTGGACCTCTGGTGCTTCTCTCCTGGCAGATTCCTTTCTAAGCTCAGCTAAAAAGGCGTCTCTGAGATGCCTGTTGTCTCTGTGTTTGGCCCTTTGGGGTAAGCCGGAGCCGCTATAACTTGACAACTAGTTGTTGTCATCGCCGGGCAGCAAATCGAAACTGTGGCCTCTGTTTTTGAAACTGAACCGAGCCAAGCTATGGAAGCTTCTCACAGGAAGTCTTAGAAAAGCGTGATGGACTAATGGCCAAAAGCCATCTATAGGAGGCCAGACATCATTTCATCTGCAGGCCCCTGAAGGTTTTGGGTGTAACACACCAGATAGTAATCTCTGTACCTGCACCTTTTTTTTTCTTCTTTTTGGCGAGTTCCTACTCCCAGTGGGGGTGGGGGGTGGGGTGGGGTCTCGGTTGCTGGCAGTGCAGGAGACTGGGGTTTCCCGCAGTGCGGTGAATTGGGGTATAAAAAAAAATCATAACCTGTCTCATTTCCAACCCGGAAGAATCTACCTCTACAAAGCACTTCAGCCAATCCGATCTCCTGCGTTACGCAGCCCTGCACCATTCCTGTCCCGAAGGCATGGACCTGGAAAATGGAGCCATTGCAATCCTTGTGTAAAATTAATGTAAAAACTGCTTGTAGCCTGTTTAAGAGAAGCAGCTGAAATGTATATTTAAAAAATTTAAATTATGTTTCTCTATGGACTTTTGTTGTATATGATTCATGTCTTGGCATTGGTATATTCTGGTAACTTTTTTTTTTTCCCCCCCCCTGGGGAGTTGGTCAGTTTAATGGAATGTTCTGTTAAATGATTTTTTTATTTTTTTTTTTGGATCATTTTTGGGCTGGCAAACATTGACCGCTAATGTAATACAGATTGTTCTAACTGATATTAAAGAATTTTTTCCAGTTTCATCAGCTGCTTTCTTGGTGAGCTACCTTTATTGTATTGGTTTTGCATCGATGTTTGTGGGAAAAGTCACCCCTTGCTGCTCTTGTTCTTTGGCAATGTATCCTGCCTCAGTGATTTAACTCGCTGGTCAATTTTTATGTAGGAAACGATGCCTGGATCAGGCAGAGTGGACCTTCTGAATGTGAACAGCCAGTGTTCTAGGTCCCTGTTCTGTGTTTTGGAACTACTCCCATGTTACTACATGTGCTGGTTCTCCAGCAATTTAATAAACCCATTAAGTGTAATTATAAAATCCTGATGCATCACATCTTGTTACAGGCTGGGTCCTTCAGCAGTCTTCTGTAGATCTGTGTTGACTAGCTAGGATGTTCCCTTGGTGTGTGTGTGTGTGTGTGTTCGTGTGTGTGTGTTCGTGTGTTCATTTAGCTATAAATTATTGGGTTTGGGAGTTGTGCAGAAAATTGAATTCTCATGTGGAGTGAGGAAGAAAATTGCAGTTCTCCATTCTAGAACACTCCATTTGAATGGGCTTAATTGAATTGGGTCTAATTAGAAGCTCACTTAAAACACAAATCGACATTCAGATCTTCCAGTGTCCCTGGAAGACTAGTGGGGAGCAAAGGCTACTCTTACTCCAGGGTAAATTTCTGCTGACTGAGTGCTCAGATAAGACAGGGTGGGACAGGGTGGGTCAGGATGTCACTTCTGAGCAGAGAGCTTTAATAATGCCCAGAGGAGACTGGTGTCATGATGTGGAGCCTTCAGCTTGCTGCCAGCTGTCCAGTGGATGAAATAAGCAGAATTTCTGTATGGCTGAGCTGAAAAAGCATGAATGTGACTTTGTTCCTATCAAATAATGCTGCAAGGGTCTGTATGTGCTTTCCCCCCTATATAACTCATTGGAATGTCACCAGATTCCACTGAAGAACTTTGACCATTATAGATAAATTGGGAAAGTCTGACAGGTGATCTCTTCGAGCCCCTTTGCTGCTTCCCCCTGACCATCAGCCCTCAATAATTCAAGCTAATGTTTAATGGTTTTAGTTGCTTTATCATTAGCTATCAGTACCTAGTAATCCTGCTCCCCCTGACAGAATGTCACTTAACGCTCCCACCGCTAGGGTTGTCCCTTCCAATCTCAAGAGATACGGCATCCCTACCCCCCTGGCTCGGGTCCCCCACAGCAACGCCGGAAATGTTTACCCAAAAGCGCCAAATCGCTGTGCTTTATTTTATTACATTTTCTGTAATATTCTGGTCTGGTGGCAACTCTAACCCCGCCCAATTTTAAGTACTATGTTACGGCCCTCTGAAAAGTGCTGCCCCCCTGAATCTACCAGCGTACCCATGCTTCTGCTGTGGAACTGCTAAAGATTACCCCTTTGCTGCTTTAGGTGGGGGGTCGGTACAACCTGGCGCCGGATAGGTACCGTACTACAGTGTGGTACTAAATCGATGAACATCACGATCAGTTAGACTAGGAGACAGATTCACTTATTACACGTCTGACGTCTGGCAGCATATGAAAAAACTCAGATCTGATCTGTCAATATATTGCCTACTTTAAAACTTGTCGCCCTGCATTAAATAATGTTTTATACTTAACACGCATGCTGTAACGATAAATATCAGATATACAAGCAGTATAGGCTTCATTAGAGACCCTTTTGTATGGCCATGATTTTAACGGCTGTTAAAGCGCAAAACCACGTACCGAGCACCGTTACCTTTTAATGTATCGCACTGACGGCGCTACGTGAGGCTTGTCGAGTGGGGGCGCAAGATCGCTTTGAAACGGGATAAAAAGAATTCGGCTTAACGCTGGGCTGCTTTAGCCCACGGCGTTTAAATGTAGTTTTGTTTCACACCTGCAAAAGGCATGATGAATTGTTTTCCCACATTTTCTCCACTTTATAAAAACCTCCCGGGCGCGCAGAACAAAGCAACCAGAGGGTAAGTGTCCATCCATCTAACTAGAGGTGATCCTGCCTTCACTATTTACTGCTCCACTTTAACTATGTATTAGTTGCACTGAATTTTTTAGAATCCACCAACAAATACACCACAATAACAGAGTAAGGACAGCAGAATATCCCAATGTGAACGCACAGAAAATAGTCCGTACCAGTTTCATCTCTCCTAGCCCCTGCAGACCCCGCTGCAGTTTTATACTGTTACGTTCCGTTTACACAGAAACGTTTTTCTGTAGGCCTATGTTATATTAGGAATATATGCCTTCAAATTATGCAGCACGGCATTTGGATTTCACTGAAATGGATAGACGAAAGCGGTAGATCTAATTGAACTGCTAGTGACTTGCTGATGGATTAGTAGGCTACGTGAAGGGCAATTTTGGAATCCAGTCTCGTGGGTTGGATCTCATTCAGTAAGAAGATGGTCAAACATTTAATTGTTGTTGCTATTAATGCAGGCTTACGTTATTCTCTTAATCAATGAATTCTCTTACGTTTCTGTTAAACATGAAATCGTGAAGATGGATACACTCTATCATGAGCCGGATTAAGCTTATTTTTATAATCGATATTTCCAAATGATGCCTTGGGAAATCAAGTCACTTGGTGTCAAGGCGATCCCCAGCTTCATGGTGCGCTTCTCTGAGTTTTGCGTGATTCGCTTTGCTGAGTGTAAATCCACTGCGTCCGCCCATTAAACATTTAGCGTCCAAAATCGCCCGCGGTTCAGTAGCGACGTCACGGCACCACTGCACACGAATTACTTAAGTGTGATTTAAGGGCAGACCCGTGGTTTAATAAATGATCCATTCTGTGTGAAATGTTAAAGGCGTTAAGTTTATCAGAGACCTTTTATACGGCTGGGTTGTGCTGTCTCCCCCTGAAATTTGCGTACCTGACGCTTGTAGTTCAGCCTCTCATACCTCAGGTTACACATATTTTGGTAGCAAAAACTGCAAATCCCATAGAAGTTCCTCATTTGCCAGTCTTCTTTGTGCAAACTTTGCTGCTTGTTCACAATCCCGCCTTTTCTCCTACCTAAGTACTTAAGTGGAACCTCTTGAGATAATCAAGTGCTATTGCTCCATACCGATGATGTTGGGGGATTGGAAAGGGCTGGTATTTTAGCTAGCCTGTCCGGGCTTGTCTGGTCCAGGGAACCCAAGTGCTTTATGCCGTGGCTGGGAATGAATACCTACTGTGTTTATGTCCTTGTTTTCAGAGAAGGAGCCATTGACACCCCCAGTTCAGCCATTGTGCGGTGCGTGATCTTTAGGGTTCTTGACATTGTGCTCTCATAAGAAGTGGACATGGAAATCTTGGCTACTTAAATGATGTTAAACCCAGGCTTTGTGGAGAAACCCCAAATGAGTTTAAGAGGAGTGCTGGGCATTGTCAGAAATGAGGTGTCATGCCTGTGTTCCTGTTAGCTAGTCCAGAACAATTGATTGCGGACAGTGGCTTTATGGAATAGAGGGCTGAGCCCATTATGAGTCTTTATACTGCTTGTAAATTTGATGGGCAGCCAGCAGGGCCTCTTACAGATAAGATCATGTGATTTACTGTAGTTACAGTATTACTATTTCAGCTTCATTTTATAGTAATTGAAGATGCTTCAGGGAATCATTTCTGCTGGCAGATAGCAGTGTCACTGCAATTTATTGGTAATAAATGCATGGAGAAGCTTTTCTGAATCATTCATAAATAGAATTTTTCTGACCTATGCCATCCATCCATTAACTATACTGCTTTATCCATCAGGGTTGTGGGGAAGCTGGAGCCAATCCCAGCATCTTTGGGTGAGATACACCCTGGGCAGGTTGCCAGTCCACCACAGGGCCAATACAGACACACACATGGGCAATTTAGAGTAGCCAGTTGACCTAACCTGCATGTCTTTGGATGAAACCCACACATGCATGGGGAGAACATGCAAACTCCACACAGAAAGGCACTCTGGGTGACCCAGGGATTGAACCCAGGACCTTCTCACTGTGAGGCACCACCTGATCTATTCCATCTATCCATTTTCTTTATGTGCTTGTCCTATGCAGGATCGTGGGGGTCCGGAGCCAATCCCGGAAGCTACGGGTGCAAGAATGGGACTAACCCAGGACTGGGTGGCAATCCCTAGCTGTACTGTTTAAAAGAAACAAAGGTGCAATTAACTTGCATGTTATAAAGTTCAGGCTTTATTGGTGAGGAGCAGGGTCTTGTATTGATGCATCTGCATGGGTGCCGAAGCCACCTAGTTTAAGATGAAGTCTGAGTAAGTCTGAGTTATTTAAGGGCTGCTAACATCATTTGTCTTTAGCAGGAAGAAGTTCTGTGATGTTCAGTCCCGATTTCATTTGTGCAAAGCTTATCTTGAAGTTCTAATATTTTTGATGATGACTACTGCATGTACAGTCATTGACAAAAGTCTTGTCACATAAGGACATAGTAACTTAAAAAGGCATATAACTTTATTTCTAATCAATCAATTGTTACATTGAATGGATCAATTTAATGCCAAGGGCTTTCACATTAATAACTGGGTACAAAATGAAACAGTCAAAAAGTGTCCTGATGTTCACAGCTTGTTAAA